TCTGCATCTCCATGAACCTGTTTATCTAGTTTAGAGTTGTTCCCATCCAACATCTCAAACTTTGGATCAAAGTCACACAGAGAAACTAAATAAGAACTCAGCTCAAGAACAGTGTCAGGCCTGACAGGCAGGGCCTCTGTGAGCTGCTGTGGCAGCCACTCAAACCACCCAAGAGTGACTGCAGCAGTGACTGTCCCTTGTGCCAGCAGCACCAGGCTGAATCTGGCTTTTTGGCTGAGGTAGAGGAGAAGTCTGTAAAAACCACTACAAACAAGTTCCTAAGCCCTGGACTCTGAGAGTGTTCTCACTTCCCAGCAGCTCCAGCCTGCAGTTCAGTCCTGTAGAGATGAGCCAGGCCCAAGGGAACTGGTTGTACAATAGCAGGAAGCTGTACATGTAGTGTTTGCTGAGGTGACTCTGGTGTGCTTAGTTACAGCAGCATAAATCCAGCCACCATAGCTTAGGAATCTGATCCTTTTCCTGTGTTAATTTTAGTCACTCATGGTTTCTTTATGTAGAAATCCTCCTAAGCATATACAAGCTGCAATGTACCTGTGTTTTGCTTAGCCAAGAGAAGAACGACTGAAAGTCACGTAACCCAGAAATGGTGCCTTTTGTGTGCTCTGATGAGCATCCTTGAGGCACCTCTGCCTGTGTGGCTCCAAGGGCCAGACTTCTCTGAGCACAAGTAATTAACATGAAGGCATTTTGCTTCTCACAGGCAATCATGAATTCCATCTGGTTTGGTTATGATGTGAAGAAAGCAGTGGAGGAGCCCAGAATTCACGATCAGCTGTTTCCCAACATTACGGAGCTTGAGCAGCAAATAGAGGAGGTTGGTGTCACTAGAGCCATACATGGACTTCTATGAGCTGGACCCCTAGTGCTGGGAAGGAAAGCACTGTGGAAAATCATCAGGTTTGGCCAAGTGTTCCTAGGTGAGCAATAGTAAAGCTGGTACAAGTCTAGTGCTGAGTCACAATAAGCTCAAAATGTTCAAAGTGCAGCGTCAGTCTGTCACACAGGTGTGAAGCCAGTGCACTGACGAGTGACTTGTCTCTGAAACTGAGCATCTGCTTGCAGTGATGTTTGGCACAAAGGACTTGCAAAACAGCAAATCACATCAGGGCCCAGACCATCCAGCAGTCTAAATCCAGTCAGTCTCAGGGAACTCTTGTCCTGCTGAGTAACCTCATGATGAATCTGGAAGGCCTGGCCCAGAGCTAGCAAGGAGGGATGCCCACAGGGACCTGGGAACAGACTTGAAAATATATTCACAGTAAAGATGTCAGCACAGTACTGTCAGTTGCAGAGCTGATGGCAAGGTCTGCCTTGCTCTCCAGACCACTCACCTGAGCTGGCAGCTTCATTCACCCTAAGAAGCTACACATCCCCAGAGGCCTGAGGCAGGCACAGGCGTTGTACATATCTCATGCGTCTGTATCTGCCTCTTTGTACCTTCATACCTCTGTGCCTCTGTGTTTGGGAAAACAGTCCTACATAATGCATTTTTCTTATCAAACTCTGCAGAAGTTCCTCTGTTAATAAGCTTCTTATGAAGGTAACACCTGAGGTATCTGCCAGCACTGGGGAGGATGCCCTGCTCTCTACAAGTCCTGTGTTTTCCACCACTGCCAACAGGATCCATCAGTCCTGGCTGTTAGTGTGTGAATATCTGTGACCAAGAATAGTATTGGTAACCCACACTGAGCACCACACATATCAAATTCTGAATTCCACTTCTTCAAAAGTAGGGCATCCCAGAAGGCAAAGGGAGGAGGAGGAACAACACGTAGCCCTGTGTGACACAGGCCCTGAGTGCTGGCTGGTTGTGGGGGATGCAGATTGCAGGGTGCAGCAGGTGCATTTCCCTGTGTGCTGTGCTCACACAGCTGTGCATTGCAGGGTGCAGCAGGTGCAGTTCCCTGTGCATTGCAGGGTGCAGCAGGTGCATTTCCCTGTGTGCTGTGCTCACACAGCTGTGCATTGCAGGGCATCGAGCAGCAGCTGAGGAAGAGGAGGCACGACACGGCGCGGGTGAGCGGCGGCGCGGTGGTGCAGGCCATCCTCAGAACGGAGCGCGGCTGGGCCGCCGCCTCCGACTCGCGGAAAGGGGGCTTCCCTGCGGGCTACTGACCTGGCTCAGCTCCTTCTTCCAGCGCTCTAGTGACACCAAGGTGTGTTTGGGGGGAAGATCCTTTAGATCTGCAACTCAGGGACTTCTCACAGGAAAGAGAACACATTTGCCTGTGATTCTGTTGATGGAACTGGGACAGTTCTCTACAGCCATGACCGAAGTGCCTCATGCCACAGCCGTCTGCTAAGACAGGCACGTCCACCAGGACGTGCAGTACTTACTTGAAGCGTCTGTTCTGCCTTGAAGAGTTTGTTCCCTGCCTCCTCTCCATCCCACAAAGACAGATTGGGTGCCCAGTTTCTGCAGAAGGTCCAGCTCACTCAAGCTGCAGGAAGCGTTTCCCTTGCACGGTGTCAGCTACCTGGAATGTCCCTGTCACTGCTAGAGAAGATATTTGTTTCCTGTTGAGTAGGTGGGGGTTACAGGACTCTGGGACTGGGTTTTCTAAGTTACAAACTAATAGGCCTGTGCCATAGCAGGAAGCCCAGCTCTAGACTGGGATAAGCCAAACTCACCACTCTGTTAACAAAAGCTGTTTCTGCATTTCACCCAGTTGATTTTTGGAGGTGAGTGGGAAAATGGGGAAACGGCTTCAAACTTTTTTATATTTCTGTTGAGAAGGTCTAAAGGGAAGATGCTACCTGTAAAACTCTGAGCACAACTGAAATAAATACGGAGTCACACGTTTTCCTTGCCTGCACTGTTGCTGCAAAAAGGGATGGTGAGAGTCTGTGAAAGAAGCTCTTCTGAGACTTTTGTTTTTTCTTCACTGCTTTGATGAAGTAATGAGTAAACAATAATAGTTACATATCCAAAACAAATTTGTTTTTCTCTACTTTGCTTTTTATGATGTTGTACTGCAGACGTGAAATATTTGAGTTTGGGGAAATGAAATTTCAAAAAAGGGCATGCTGCAGCTACTCTTGTTTAAAGGTAAGTTACTATTAACCAGACTTTTAAGGACCTCCCAGAAATCCCTGTCTGATATGGAGCAGCTGAGAGTGTTTGTTACCTGCATGAAGGGGTTTGGTGTTCACCTGCCAGCATGGACCAATACATCACATCACATAAACTTAGCCCAAGATCAAAACCAAATGATCCAGGGGGTTGTCAGGCTCTAGTGGTGTTTTTGAAATCCTTGATACACAAGTGGCAGTAAGTTAGCTCATCTCTTTGGCTTGTTGAAACTTCCTGTCAGTTTGTAAGAACCTTAAAATACAGAAGAGAAAATGAAAGTCTGAAGTTTTAAGCATCATGCAGTCTCTTTCCTAGAAGTGTCTGGAGTTGAGGAGAGCCCAGTTTCACAGAATAAAGTGATAGCTTAAATCAGAGTCATGACTTTGACATACATATTTGCTTATATCATTTGACCCAAATGAGTGGCTTTTACCAAACGTGCCCCTGGTGTGCTCTGGCTCCTTTTCCTGAGCTATTACTGGTGGTGCTGCTTTAGGTGCAGCAAAGGCAGTGACTGTAAATGACCTCTAGTCACTGTGTTCCCTCTCGTTCCCTCAAGAGACCAGTTTGGGGCCAAGCCTGTGTCCTCTTATTGCCAAACTAAGACTTTCACTTTTCCACTTCTTGTAATTCCACTTCTCGTGTTCCTCAGTGTCAGGCTGCCTTTGGAATTGGGACTATAGCTGAGTTCTTTCTTGGCTAGGTGTGACCTGGGAAATAAAGGAAATTACTGCACAGCAAAGTAAGCTTATTGGAATCTTACAGTCTCTACAGTTAGTCCAAAATAGGAAGGAAATTGACTTCTGGGAAGTGCCTGTTGGACAATCCTGATTTCTGATACAGGTCTGAGTGGCTGCTGCTGGGCTGCATCTAACGGTTTGTGGTGCAGCGGTTGTTCTTATGTTCCTGAATTTCTTCTTGCTAGTCAGAAAATTTCCCCCATTTTTATAACGTGCGTTAAAACGTTTCCCCTGTGGAAAGCTTAAAACACTCCTAGTTACAACTGTTCTTATATAAATGCATTTGAATTCTTATATAAATGCATTTGAATTCTTGCTTCTGCAGAAGTTGCTTTGTTTAGTTGTTTTTTAACGGTAGGAAAAACAAAGGAAGGAAGAGGAAGGATTTGTTAAACTGGGCTACAGCTGCAGAGGAAGGATTTGTTAAACTGATTTGTTATACTGTAAGCTTGCACTTACCCCCTATGTTTTTAAAAAGCTGTGGATACTTCTGCAAGCTGTAGTCATCTGCATGTCATTTAGACACATCTGTACACGAAGCAGGCACTTCTGCCACCTGCTTGAAGACCACATCCCAGTACTCACCCCAGAGGTCTATCCAGAGAAACCGTGGCTGTGCCATGCCTGGAAATATTCAAGGACAGCTTGGATGACACTTGGAGCAGCTGGGTTTAGTGAGTGACATCCCTGCCCTTGACAGGAGGATCAGAACAAGGTGGTCTCTGAGGTCCCTCATCATTCCATGTCCCATCTCTTGAATGCAACCACCTGGCCCTGCTCCTGGGTGCACACAGTGTGTTGGTGTGGGCTGCCTGCCCCAGTGCAGGGCATGGAGAACAGGACACATCCCATGAGTGATTCCAGCTGATGTGAAAGGAAGCTGTACCATCAAAAGGCAATTCAGATCATGAGCTGGAGGGTTCACCTCTTGCCCCTATTTTTCAGGCTGACATTAGCACAAGTTTCTTTTGGCAACCATCCAGCCTCTGCAAGGGAACAAAACTCAGCAGTGAGAGACAAGTGGCATGAGCTGCACTGTTCCTCAACTTCTCCAGCAGCATGTGAGGCTCCAGAATGAACAACTGTTACTGCTGGAAACACCTGCATGGAGTCCTCTGTGCTTGTGTGATGGGGTAGGCAACAGGTTTAGAGGAGAAAATCCCAGACAGGTTTAAAAACACTTTATTAAAAGTATAACTTAAAGACTTCATTAGAAAATAGAGCAGCTTCTGTACAACGATGCTTTTAAAGTCCGTGTATGTTGATTTCAGTACAAAAATAATGCTCTCTTTTTGGGAGGAGCAGGAATATGGAGAGACCAGACTGAGAGGCTCTTGACCCATGCAGATTTCAGCAGCAGTGAGGAGGTGGCAGGGCAAGAGCAGAGGTGCCAAAGCAGGTGCAATCTCAGCTTCACCAGGTATTCTGCTAGGAAGGACTGCAGGACTGGAAGTCTCTGCCACGCTGAGAGATCTGCACTCCCATTCCCTTCTGTCTTGCAAATTAAATCTGTGATGGGTTTTTAACCTGCTTCACTGGCTCACTTGCAAAATTAATAGCAAAGCAGTTAAACTGAAGTGAGTACTGGACTAAAGATAATATTCCTATGTCTTTGTGGTGGGAAGTAGCTGTGATACTACTGCACTGGAAAGGTGATAGGCTGGAGTGCTGCAGGGTGCTTCACCCTAAGGTGTGTGTCAGAAGCAAAGGTAATGGAAGACTTGGTTACTTGGTGACTTGGGTTTTCTGCAGTGAAACATGATGGAGAGGGCCCAGAGCACTGCTGAAGGTGGTCCTAATAGGGAAGCTGGGAGTGCTTTCCCTGTCTCCAGCCAGTGCCACTCTCAGTTGCTGCCTGTAAACTCTCGGCTCAGTGGGGTTAGCTGGAAATAACCCCGGTTCTTGCCAGAGGCAGCATCCGGTCTGGGCTGTGCGTCTGGTGCTGCGGCGGGAGCTGCAGACGGAGTCTGGCGCCTGTCAGTGCTTCCCCTGCACAGCTCCGGCAGCTGCTATTCCTGACACCACCACCGATGCACCCAGAACTGCTGGCTGGGACAGGGGAGTGAATCAAGGCAGAAAATGTCAGCAAATTAGGTAGATTTGGTTTCTTTGGTGGTCATAGTCAATGTAACCCCTTCCAAGGGAACATAAAACCTGCCCTTTGACAGCTTTTGGGGCTGTTTCCTCTCCCATTCAGCAGCACTGTGATGCCACCTCACAGGGTGCCAGGCCACTTCCACAGTGTGGGTGAGCAGCTCTGATGGAGAAACCAGCAGTTCTTCCTGAATTGGAGGATTTAAGATGAATTCCATTTGGACAAGGAGGGAGCAGGGCAGTGCATGGAGCTGGCTGCATCCATGAGTAACGCGATTTCCAGCTGGGTGATTGAGTGCTTGTGGTTATGATCTGGTAACTCATCAATCATTCACTGATCCAGCAGGGGCTGTGCTGCAGTCCTTGGGGTAAAACTTCTGAAGGAAAATACATGTCTGACTCTGGTCAGCTTCCACTAAAATGCAAGTGAAGGCTGAGATTTCAGTAAATGGATGGCTTTATTGGACAGGCTTTGTGGGTAAAAACATTGGCGTAAAATCTAGCTGGCCCTGTTTTAATTTGTGTTTTTAACAGTGTGTGCTTGTTATGATTTATCCCAATTTACAGAGGGATTCTATTTGTTGGAGAACTAGGAGTCCCATGGGCTCTGTGTGAGGGGGAGGGCTCTTCTAGTGCCTGGCTCTGGTTTCTTTCTCTTTCAGACACACACACAGCACTTGCCCATAGGGCAATCAGGCTCAGAAGCTTTCAGAAAATGGAATTTTGCAGGATTCTGGGAATTTGACCCTGCATATTTGAAGAACTTTGGGGGTTTTCTGGGTTTTAGGTTTTATTTTCATAAATGTTTGATTATCTTGGTCATTTTGAGCAGGGCAAGGCTATGGATTAACTGCAAAAGACCTTTTGCATCCAAGTGCAAAATCCAGGACCTGTTGCGTTCAGGTCTCTTCTCCAAAAGTTTTCTCTTTCTCTGATAGTTCTTAGAGTCCTACAATGCCCTCCGTGTGGTTTGAAGGGAACACTAGGGACAACAGGCTGTGGTAAATAGGGATTTGGAGCATGTAAGATATGGGAGAACTCTGCTAATGCCTGATCACTTCTCAGCAGTCCTGGTGGTTGCCTGGCCAGGCTGAGCTCAGGGCTACAAATGGCATCTCCTGATCACGTATACTTCACAATTTGAAGAAAGTTCTAAAGTTTCCAAAAGCAACATTTCCACTGCCTTCCTGACCTGCCTTCCCAAAGACTGATGTACCAGTGTTGAGGAGGGAGAACTGGCACAGACTGGGACCCATCTCACCACAGGGAGAGGCACCTCCAGGGAGTTCAGCTGAAGCCTGTTCGTCCCAGGAGCAGGGAAATCACATGCCCCCATGGGAGGCTATTCTCAGAGTCACCGTGTGCAGGGCTGGAGGAAGTGTTGGTGCAGTTACCCTGAGCTTGTGGTTGGGTGAGCTTTGCTCCCCTGAGGCAGGGAGCAGCAGGCAGGGCAGCACTTGTGCCATGGTGTGATTTCATCTGCCACTTTGGGGAAAAGCTGAGCTTCTTTGGATGGGAAAACAGAGGGAGAGTGTGGAATTTTGATCTCTTCCCTTCCCAAATCCATGCTCTAAGCCTGAATGCTTCAGATTTTAAAATCCTGACCGTACAGATGCTTCTTGTTCATGGCTAAAATAGTTATGTATTTCACATTGCTAAGCCCCAGCAATAAACTTATTGTGGAACAGCCTGAAAGAAACTGAGATTCCATCAGGAATGGAAGATGCAGCTGGGCCATTTCACAGTGTTCTCAGTCGGGTTTGGACCAATTTTCCTTTCACACTTTGTATTCTCTCATTCTGAGTAACTGATGTGCTCAAGAAATATGTTCTCTGTGTATCACATAAGTAATGGAAGGTGTAGCTCTAAACAAGGTAGGCTGACCTCTCCTTGTACTGCCTGAGGGTGACCTGCAGTCTGCTGGAATTAGATGTAATCACAGGCTGTGCCCATGCTCCAGGAGACATCCTGATGGGAACAGGAAATTATGGGCATATCCAAGCAAAGCATGTTCTGAGTCTCCTGTGGCTTTGTGGATCGTGATGGCATTTCACACTAATATCCAGCCGACTTCCCCAGCTTCCTTTTATCAGAGTAAGCAGAAATGCATTTTCCTTCCTTGGAAATTCCCTGTACAACATTCATTGCAAATTTATCTTTCTTCTCTTTATGTCCTCTTCCCAGTAGGCCAGTCCTAACCTCCTGTGGGGGGAGAGAAGAGGAAATGGAGTGAATGGGGCAGGGGCCTGAGATCTTAACATTGCCAGGTGTGAAACTGTACGATGTGTGTGTGGAGCCTGGTTGAGGAATTGAGGTTTTAAACAAGAAGGAGGTGAGCCAGAGGCAAAATAAAGATTACCCAGGAGAGTTACAGAAGCAATCTGCTCCCCACCAAGGCCACTCACCTTGCTGAAAGACTCCTCAAATAGGACACTGTCACCCTGGGTGTGCATGACAGGAGCTGAAATGGCGTGTTCCAAGTCGTAACCAAACCACAGCTTGTTTATAATCGCCTGCAATAAAACAAATCCCACACTGCCCAACTGGATATAAAACCTGGGCTCTCCAACCCAGGCTGCACTGAGCCAGACCCACAGTCCTACCAGCCTGGTGTCCTGCTTTCATGGTGACCAATACTAGATGCTTGGGGCAAGTAAAAGAATAGGATGGGCATGTAATACTTCCCAGAATGCTTTCCCTGGCCTACAGTCTCAGCCTTTAGTGACTTCTAAATTGCAAATTAACAAAAGCACGGGGAGTCAGGATCCAAGGAGAGGTGAGTAGGGACTGACCATGGCTAGAAATCTGAGAGGGCTGAAAAAAGTGGCAACTTGCCGTGGGTTTCACTTACCATGGTGGTAGCACTGATAATCCAGCTCCCTCCAGCTCCTCCAATCACCAGCACGTCTCCTGACTTAGAGATGAGGATGGAAGGCACCATTGCTGAGGGAGGCTTCTCTCCTAGAGCAGAAGCAGATATTATTCTTTCCCTGTGGCTCTAAACAGGGTAGGAGGAACACAGGTTCATCTACCTTGCCTTTCTTTTGTCCCCCACAGAAAAACAAGCTGCTGCTCCTTCCTCAAGATGCTCAAGACTTCCAGAAAATTTTCCTTGTAGTGAAAGCCCATGTCCCAGGAAACTGGGACCTTTCTGGCATAAGCTAAACAAGCTTCTCTTGAGGCAGCACAGGGCATCTTACAAGTATTCAGAACTTGTTGCAGCTCATTCAACCAGATGAGGAACCCTTAGCAGAAATCCTGCCACAGCAGCACTGGTGTCCTCTCCCAGCAGGCTGAGGAGGATGCAGTAGGGACAGCTTATGGCACAGAGCCATGTCTGCACCAACACTGCTCTGTCACAGAGCTTGGTGCAAGCCTGTAGCAGCTCTATACTCAGAATCAGAGATGAGCCTAAAATATCAGCAGGCTTGTCTTAGCAGTAGTTTCTCGACTTCTTCCCTCCCCTTCCCATCAGCCAGTGATCAGCTTCAGCAGTTTTTTTTTTAACCTCTGATTTCTCTGGTTAGAAACCAGAACTCCTGTGTTTCCATACAGGGAGATATGTGAGAAGACACAGACACACTACAGGGCTTTATCCTCTTTTAGTCTGAAATAAACTTGCTCTCATCCAGATCTAGGAAAGAAAAGAGTGTCTGTAAGTTTACAGTTTGTCCCTGCCCACTTGTGCAGAGCCTGTGTATCCAGCCCCTGGCCCTGTCCTTTATTCTGAGGATGAGGATGCTCACCTGGTTTAATGCTTCTGTTTGCTATGCAGAAGTCAGCAAGTTCATTATTTAAAATGATCCCAGTTTGGTCAGAATACACAAAGGAGCCAAATCTGCAGGGAGGAAAGATGAAGTCTTTTAGTGCCCAGGGTTCTCCTATTATGGATGACATTTACTGCACATGGCACCCTGTAAGTAACTTCTGTCTCCTCCCAGCCTGCAAGTGTCCCAGTGAGGGTGTCCAAAAGGAATTTGTGCTGCTGCTGGTGACAGAGATAAGTTCCCTGTTACTGGTGCCACGGAAATTCAGCAAGAGCCTCAGCAAGTTCTTGCATCCTCCTGAATTATGACAGCTCTTGGAGTTGATGCTCACAGATCTTTGCTGTCACATGAAAAAGGCACTCACAGCTCAGAAGCTGCCTAAACCAGTGAAACCCAGGGGTTTTGCTTTGCTGGTAGCCAGCCCTCACAGCTCCCCTGTGAAGCTGGCACGTGGCCTGTGTGACTGTCCCCAAGCCCCGGGCTACTCACGGGTAGTTGATGGTGCTGGTGGCCGACACGGCGCTGCCGTCTGCAGCGAGCACAGAGATGTGGCTCGTGCCCATGCTCCTGTGGCTCTCCTGGTAGAGGGACTCCAGCAGGCTGTAGTGGCTCAGGGGGTGGTCACCACGAATATCTATCTTCTGCCTGGCAGACTCAGCAAACTGCTCAGACAACAGGGTCCCCACAGGCACCTGCCAGCACAGCAAGGACACTGAGCTGGTCACCAAAGCACAGGCCTGTCTTTGGGCTCAGGAACTGAGCCCCAATAGTCAGAGCCTGGGGCCCTGGAGTGGCAGCATTCAACCCCAGGCCACTCTCATCCCAGAAAATGGACCAAGCTCAGCACTGAGGCACCTCAGCATGGGCAGGAGCATGTGCATGCCCTTTGTCAGGCAAGTGAGTGCCAGCCTACAGCTGAAGCTGCAGAGTAAACAGCTGATCCTGCCCCTGCGTTGGCCAACTCAGTCTTCAGTAGCAGCTCTAAGTATTTTCTTTCCTTCCAGGCTGCAAAGAAGGAGCATGTCAGATCATTGTTCGGTGCTGTAGCACTGTACCCACACACCATGGAGCTCACCTGAGCTTCAGAGAAGGCTGGGTCACTCATGTGGGGTCTTAGCATGTTGCCAAACTTCAGGGCCTCTGCAATGTGGTGATAGGTCTTTACCTTCTCCTCAGGTGTTGCCAGTGATGCTTTGTGGAATTTATACTCTGTGGAGCAGGATGACATAATTTTGTTAATAGGCCCAAGGCAATGTTTTTTCAAGAAGTGCAAAAAAAAATCTCCTCTTCCTACCCCAGTTCTTATCAGATTTCCCCTATGTTTTAGCAGGATGTGGATGCCGAAAAAACCAAGTACTAATTTCCACTGTGACTTCAATTTCTTTTGAAGCACTGGGAAAGGCATGCATCCTTTGGCCTTTGCAGCAGCTGTGGTGATGCTGACCCACTGTACAAGTGAACCAGTTCTTCCTCCTGTTGCATAGCATGGTCACACTACTGCTTTGGGCCCCATTCTGGCTCAAAAACTCCATTTCTGCCCATTGCATTTTATCACTCTGGAGCAAAACTCTCTGAAAACCTCTTGCTGACCCCTTTCCATTAGGAATTTACCTTCCAATACCTTGAGGATGAACATGAGCACTGCACCTCCCAAGGGTGGTCCTGGAGCAAATACTTTGGTGGTGTTGTTCAGGGTGATGTTCAGAGCTGAGGACACCTCTGCTTTGTATGCCCGAAGGTCCTCCAGTGAGAGACTGGACCCTTCAACAGAGACCCAGGAGCTGCCATCAGCACAGCAACTTAGACCTGCCTACATCAGAGTCTTGGTAAAGCTTGTGAAGAGCCATCCCTGTACAGCCCAAATTCCTTCTACACAGCACAGCACCGCCCTCACACATCCTCATGTGCTGCCAAACCCCAGGACGCCACAAAGCCCAAAGCAGGCAGAGGGGCGAGTGCATGAGCACAGTGGGCAAAGGCCAGAGCAGTGGATGGTCTCAGCCCTGCTTCTGGGCCTGTTACAGGAACTGGGGAAAGGTGGCTGCTTCCCATGTCAGGTACCACCCCAAGTGACAAGCAAATGGCATGTGTTTCCCCTGGTACAGGCTCACTGTGAGCCGATGGCTGGGAGAAAGGCTTGTGTGTGAGGACTCCCTGTAGCTGTTACTCACCAGCCTTCGTGGTGTCCTCCAGCAGGGCCCTTCCTATCTCTCCCTCATAAAAGGCTGCAGCTCCGTGTTCTGCTACAGCTTGCAGCGTTCGCTGCAGCGCTTGCCACCGGAAGGTCTCACCAAGCTTCAGAAATCTTTGACCGTCACACAGCAGTGGGCTGTTAAAGAAGAACATTCTTCAGTTTCACAGCACATGAACTTGCTCTTGCCCAGGGCCAATGACCTCTTTTTTGACCAAGAGCTGATCTGGATTATGTATGCTGTGTACTTTCCAACGCAGGGCTAGACTGCAGCCTCTTTTAAAAACCCACTTCTGTGCTTCTGTCCCACTCCACAGCAAGTATTCCCCGAGCACAAACCACAGCAGCAGCCTGTGCTCCACGTCAGCATGTCAGAGAAAGGGTCTGAAGCCGAGGGAACAGTGGCCCTCACACTGCAGTCATTCAAGGGTCTTACCACAGGCTTTTCCCCGGTACAGAGAAGGCTGGGTGATGGAGAATTTTTTCCAGAACTGGAGAAATGACCAGTGGCTCTGAAAGAAGCTTGATGGTTGGTTCAAACAGGGCTTTCCATGGTAAGCGGCCGTGGCGCTTATGGGCTTCCTCATAGCCACGGAGCTCTCCAGGCACGCCAATCCAGTGGGGACCTGAGGAGCACAACAGCAGTGTCACACCAGTACCTCACTGGCTTGGGGGCTCCACCTCTCTGAAAGCTCTCCAATCGAAGTCTGAGTTGGTAGATGTGGTATTTTTGGGGACCCCAGGACAAAGGAGGAATTGAGAATCTGACTCCATGTTCTTAGAAGGCTATTATATTATATTATATTATATTATATTATACTATACTAAAACTATACTAAAGAATAGAGAAAGGATACAGACAGAAGGCTTAACAAGAAGAAGAATGAAAACTCGTGACTCCTTCCAGAGTCCCAACACAGCCTGACCATGATTGGTCATTAAGTTAAAACAATTCATGTGAAACCAATCAAGCATGCACCTGTTGGTAAACAATGTCCAGACCACATTCCAAAGCAGCAAAACACAGGAGAAGCAAATCAGATAATTATTGTTTTCATTTTTCTCTGAGGCTCCTCAGCTTCCCAGGAGAAGAATCCTGGGCAAAGAGATTTTCCAGAAAATATGACAGTGACAGGTAGAGGCAATGAAGGCTTCTAAAAGCATGCTTGGTTTGTTTATTTGTTTTCCTGCTCATGTGTTTCCCTGTTACTGAACAGCAGGGGTGTAGAGAGGCTGGAGCCAGGCCTGAGGTGTGCTGAAAGCATAACAGGGAACAGGCACGTGCTGCAGCAAGGGAGGTGGCAGCTACACACTGGAGAGATGGCGCTCATGGGGCCTGGGCAGACACTGGAACAAGGGAAGCAGTGAAATCCTCCATCCCTGGAGAAACTAAAAAATGTGACAGGACAAGAACCTGGGCAGCCTGAGCAACACTTGACATCATCCTGCTTTGAGCAGAACTCCAGCTGTCCCTTCCAACCAGAGTTGCTCCTGATTCCTTTTCAGGCTCTTCCAAGGATAAGAACATCTCCAGAATCTAGGACACCCCCAGAAGATAACATTCTAGGGAAGGAGAATGAACACAGCAAGAAATGTGGAAAGATCCAAGATGTGCTGCAAAGCAAGAGTGCCTGAGCCCAGCAGTTCAACTCCTAATGTGCCAGTGTGCTTCCCCAATCTATGGACATGGCAAGCACACGAGATTGATTCCTTTTGTTTCCCGAAAGCTACTGATGTTATTTTTCTCTGTAAGGACTTCTGGGGAATGAGAGCTTTGGGAGATCCAGTCTTGAACTGCAGACTTCCTATGGAGAGAAGTTACATTGTGATTTCGCCTCATGCTGGCTCCCCATTGCCTCGCTGGTCAGGTTGCCAGTGTTATTACCAAACAGGAATTTTTATGGTTATGGACATAGTCTTTTTAGTTACTTTTGCAAAAGACAATCGAGGTGGAGGGTGTTAAACGAAATAGAACTCCAGACCAAGTCAGTGAGGTGCTCAGTTCCCCACCCTGAGCTCTGTGCACACCAGGAGGGCACACAGCTGTGTCCTTACCAATGGGGAATCCAGCACCACAGCCAGACAATAAGTTGTGAGGAAACACTCGTGGGACTGTCTCGCGGGCGTTGATCACCTCAACTGCTCCTAGAAAGAAGAGGGAAATGCATAATGTTGTCTTCCTGAAGCAGGTGAACATCACACTTCAGTCAGTGTAGCACCGCATGTTCTGCTGGCCCAGAGCTGAGCTGCTCTGGAGCCTTTTGCCAGATGTGCCAAGTGCACCTGCAGGGTCAGGTGTCAGCACAACTTGTCCTTGACTCCTGTCCTTTTATTTAGAGCAAACCAAGCAGTGCCTACACAAAGGTACTGAAAGTACAGAGAGAAGGTCAGGGCTTATCTCCAGGTAGCAAAGGTTCTCCCCAGGGTTCATGGGCTGGGACATGAACTGGGACGTGCTGCCTCACACCTGCAGGTTCCTGCACTTCTACAGATAGGACATGTCAGAGGCATAATGTGAGCCTCATGCTGATGGGAGGGCCATTTAACAAATGATGATGAGGCAAGTCCATCAGATTTGCAGCCCTCTATGTATCAGGGAGCTTGAAAGGACAAACCCAAACCCAAACGCTCACTTGCATACACTCGTATTTCAGGTCTAGTCTATCACTTTACTCCTTCTCTGCCTTGTATTTATCTGTCCCTGCCACAGTCCACAGAGCCAGCTGTGCTGCAGGAGCCCACAGTGCTCCCTGGTGTACCAAGTGCCTGAGCTGTGCATGGCCACAGGCAGCTCTGTGCAGCAGCATAACTCAGGTAGCAGAGGAGGATTGTTGTCAGGAAACAAAATTAAATGGCTCTGCCAAAAGGAAAAAAGAAGAAAAATATAGGTGTTCTGCCAAATTAAGCTCTTGCATAAGATACACCCAAACAGTTCCACATTTGTGACTCTGTGAAACTACTTGGCAGGGATTTTAAAACTATTATATTGTTACAGAGTTCATTGTTGATATTACTATTAGATATATAATCTCTGGGGGTTCTTGGAAGCCAAGACCATAAACTCCCACACTGAAGACATAAAAGCAAGAAAACAACACTAGAGTTTAAGCCAAACACAGAAAGGCTCCCCAGCAGACACTGAACATTGCTAGGTTTAGATTTCTGAAGTGGAAATGCATCTCCTGGGACAGGAAGTCTCACCGCTGCTTTGGGGAGTCACAGCAGCACTGGTGACAGCAGTGTGAGACAGCCCCAGGGCCAGCAGGCACGGCCAGAGCTGCTGGGGCAGCACAAGCCCCTCAAGTGCCATCCCGAGGGCTCAGCTGAGGCACTGACAGCCCAACACTGCCAGCACACCCCTCCTGCCTGCTTCACTCAGCCACTCACACCTGGCTGCAGTCAGCTATGGGACTTTGGAATGTACTTTGGGATTGTTTTGGAGGGAGAAGGAGAGGCAAACTCAGCTCTTTTTAAATCAAAGCTCTTTCCTCCACACACATGTTCTTGCTGTGAAATGACAATCACAGCTCCCTGTAGTGGATGCTTTGGATTAAGAGCACAAGTGTGGTTTGTGATGTAGCTTTTATATTCAAAATATTGCTCTGAGAGAACAGGCAGGATTCTGATTTGTCCACAGCATTGTGTATCTGCACAGGGACAAGGCACCATGGAGAGGCCTTACCTGTGCTGGCATTATAGATGGTAAATATGACCCCACCACCCAGGCCCGAACTCTGAGGGTTCATCACTGAAGTGCAGATCAAGCCAGCAATGGCAGCATCCACAGCTGTGCCTCCACTTTTCAGGATGTTCCTGTGGTGGGAAGGGAAGAAAAAAGACACTGTTAAAATCCAGGAATGGCAGAATAGAGAAATCACATGAAAATGTCTCCTTGGGACCCCTGCAACTTGTGGAGAGCAGCTGGAGAAATGCAGTGTGGGCTGTGAGGGGCACCTTCCTCTGCTAGAGTGAGAAGGAACGATTAGAGGAAAAGAAAGGAGAGTCCACAGGAGGAAAGAGCAGCCAGGGCCAGACCTGCGGGAGGCTGGACTTCCTCTGGGCAAAGAGTTATGGGAAAGAGAGAGTTGCAGATGCTCACAAATGCTGAATGTGGACTGAAAGGGACATCAAGGAGTTGAGACACGGAGAGGGATGCTCTGAGCACAGAAGAGGGCTTTCCACACACTAGGAATCAAACAACTGATCTCTAGCTTCCCAGATGCCATTCCTTATAAAGGCATATGCTGGTCAACTGGACAGGAGCACTGAAGTGGGAACACTGGGTCCATGTGAAGCAAACTCCTGAGAAAATGTGTCAATAAGCTTCATTGTTCCTACAATGTGACTTCCTGGGCCTGTTAGCACAAAAATGCCCCAGCCTGCTCCCTGTATTCCCAAAGACAAAACCAACAAAGAAACAAACCAAACAGGAAAAAACCCTCAACTGCTTCTACCAAGGCACAGACATTAAGGCAGCCTCTTGCTGCTGAGCAACGAGGTCCTGTTAGAGAAACCTGTCTCAACAAATGCTTCCCCCAAGAACATCTGAAAACCATAATCTCCTTGCAGTGGAAATAGGGTGGCATTTCCTGCACAGCCTGCCAGCAGCCAGCACTGGTGTTTGCTAGGAAGGTTCCTAACTGCTTCATTGGATTATTGCTCAGATAAGGCAAAGCCAGAGAGGAGACTGGAGTAGTTCAGTAATTGCAGTGCAGCCAATCCCAGAGTTTGCATGGGAACACAGAGCACACACACAGACTGATGTTTATTTTCCATCCACTATGGCTGGGACCTGCTGGGTCCGGGAACAGGATGCTGCCAGCAGGCACGCTGATGTGGCTTTCCTTTGTTTCCCCAAGTGTCTTGGATCCACTGCCTGCAAGGAAATCACATGTGGACAAGTGGGAAGAAAAGAAATAGTAGGGAACATCAGGCTTTCTGTTTGGGATCTGCATGGCTTTTGGTCTCCTGGGAGTTCCCTGGCTGTAGCTCTGAACATGGAGGCTGAGGCTCAGGCTCATCCATCCAGCTCCTTGCAGCAGGGGAGGGACTCACCACACCAATGTCCCTGGGAGGTGTTTTTCTGAAACAGAAGCTGTTAATTGCTGATCACAGAAAGGACACGAGGGCTTCCTAAAAAACTGGGTCACCTCTGCAGAAGACCCAGACAGCGTGTTAGAAAGTTGGAAAAAGAGGGAAGAAGGACTGCAACACTGACTCAAGACAGTGCTCCCCAGAGCCCCTGGAGTGTGTGTGAGCTGTGAGGCAACACATGTACAAAGCCCGGTGGCAGGGAAAGGCATGGTTCTGGCAGGGAAAAACAGCTTTGAAAAGAAGCTTGGAGATGGTACAGTGCACATTTCAGTGCAATGCATTAAGACCTTAACATGGAACATCAGGCACATTTCCCAAAGCCTGAAAAGCACCATTCTCACCCAAATTCACAACACATTCACATTGGCCTCCAGCCTTGACTCCTTTCCCTCCAGCCTCTCCAGAGAATGAAACTCTACAGAAAATACACTGAGCTGGCTCTTGGTGTGACACATGTGACCCCCTGTGCATGGTTCACTCATTTCCAGTCACAGACCTGCCCTGTCCCTGGGAGTGATGCCTGGGGAATTTAGGGCCATTATATACAGCAAAACCGCATCTAGATTTATGTCCCATTATTTGGCTCACTTTAGATGGATCTCTGCTGCAATGAGCTTAGTTATTATGCAAAATCCTTAATCAAATTGTGGCACCTTACCAGGTCTCCCTAGAGATACCAGTGCTGCAGCTGACAAGATCTGATAACAATGTTTTGTCCCATATCCTTCCTGCCACTTAGCATTAGGGTTTAGTCATTAATGGAGTTTCCTTATAATAAAGAGCAGAAGAGGGTGTTAACAACCAAGTCCCGTTCCAGCAGCGGCAAACAGGGATTCACCTTCCCTGGAAAGGGTGAATGATGGCACTTTGTTCACAGCCAAAGATGGGCTGTGCTGGACTGCAGACTAAGACCTCTGCTTGCCCTATGCTAGAGGGAGCCCTGGAGCCCCTTTAAACACATTGGAAGTGCTAACATATTAAATTGTATTGACCCTTTTTTTTTTTTTTTTTTTATTGCTAAAGAAGGCTGGGGACTGGAAGACCACCCATTACACAGCAGCTGCCTCCTTAGGATTTATGAAGAGCAAAAGCAACAACTGCTTCTGTAAAAAAGGGCCAGTTACCAAATTTAAAATGTACAAGAAGGGAAACCAAATCCTTTGGGATGTAAACATACTTCTGAAATCTGCTGGGCCATCACTGAAAAGGATTTTTGCATCAGATTCTGTGCTTAGAACTGAGATTCCCAGGGCTGTAGACCTTTTCTGACTGTGAAAGTCTCACCATTCTCACCCTCCCCACAACCCTGTCCCCCCAGGGGGTGATGATTTCAAAGAAGACTGGTTCCCAGAGTTTATACTAGGCTGCACTGGAGAACTGGGATCAGAGATGGCTGCTGGGCCAGGCCAGGTCAGCTCGCCTTGCTGCAGTGAATATTAAACTTTTAAAATTTTAAAAAACAAGTGATTGGCATTTTTCAGACCACCACTGGGAATTAACATTTTTTCCTAAATCTGTCCCTGACCTTATGCTGGCTCTTGCTTCTGCCATTTGGGAAACAAAGGAATGCAGGGCAGTGGATGACAGAGCTCAAACAGCACACTGGTAGGGAATATAGAGCTTTTTTGCATGGTTGATGAAAAGAGCCTCTTCCAGGAGGGAACAAGTGGTTCAGTTTTGGTGGTCTTACTGTCACAGGGCAATCATCTCCTGTCTCCTCAGGGCTCTTGACATGAGGAGAAATTAGTGAGGTGAAATGTGGTACCAAATCCACATCCTTGGGTAAAAACTGCTCTGATTCTCCTTTCAGGCTCCCATCTCTCTTCATCAAAGTGTTTCACTTGATTCAGGGACAAGTTTTCTTCCAGAGCAGGGTCTTAGTCTGGACCAGACAGCTATACAAGGTTGTTTTCAGCCCCCAATTTCCAGCAGACAAACACAGCAAGAGACCCAGCCTTGTTGAGCTGGGCACTGATGGCTAAGGGGAAGTTTAGCTCAGGACCTGCCAGCATGGATGGTGACAGGCTGAAGGCTCACTGAGATTGCTCATGTTCAGCAGGGACCCAAAGAGTTGCATAAAGATTTCAGAAATCCAGAGTACATTAACACAATCTCCAGAGCTGGAAAACACATGGCCCTGAGTTTTCCCCAAACCACTATCCCACTCACTGAAATACAAGATTCCTCCTCGAACAAGAGGTTTAGTTCAGTTATTCTCAATAAGTTCAATTGACAATTCTATTAGGAACACACAAACACTCCAAAATGGAAGAATCTTATTCAACAGAGTATCATGTAGTGCCCAGAAATTCCATTCCTGACAACTCACAGAGCATATTGTTTGAGTTTATCTTTAAAATAAACAAGGTTATTTAATAAAAGAATAAAATCTGTAAGTAAGTCAGAGATTAGGTGCTGTTTTTAAATTCCAAGGCTTTAGGCACCAGACCAGTTCTCTGAGCATCCCCCACATGGATTCCTGTGAGCTCGGGCGGGCAGGGGGATTTATGAAAGGGGTGGCTGTGGGGTCACAGCAGGAGAGAGGGTCTGCAAGGTCAGTGAGGAGGAGCAGGGACAAACCAGCCCTGTAGTGTGTCCAGGGACTGGCATCTAGGGCTGCTTGGCTTTGCCCTGCTCTCACCTCATGGCTGAACTGAAGTGTCACATGAACTGCCAGTTCAGAGGTGGGGACAGCAGGACCTAATGACCAATACTGCTCTCAGAAATTGGATTTTATTGCTATTTCTGTGACAAAATTCCTATGGATGCTAAAATATTATTCAGCAAACATGAGGCAGGAAGCAGTTGTATGCTCATCATCTCATGGTGCTCCCATCAGGGGCCCTGAGTTAGCCAGAGTCACACAGGTCACAGAGCAGAGCTGATGGCTCTGAAAGGATGAGCTCCTGCCAGAGCCCCTCTGCTGTGGCATCCTCACAGTGTCACTGCCATGTGAGACTTCCTCACCAGTGAAAGAACATCATTTTCTCCCCTGCAGTTTGCTCTGAGAACTAATTTAGTGCTAAGAGCACTAAAAAGCATCGTGTGCTAAGAGCTGAGAGCTTAGAAAGTGACATAGAGGTATAACAGTACAGAAATGTCTGGGAGAAAATTAACAGGATCACATGCACTACAGAACATGCAATAAGCTTCCTAGAGGAAAAATGAAGCTACCACTGTGGGCCAGAGAAAGAAATATGATGACAGCAACAAGGAAAAGGGCAAATATATTACAAAGCTTCTTGTCCCAAGCTGTCATGCAGAGGAACATTTTTATAAACAATTTTACTATTATAATCTTTCACAAGGACATACACAGAAGAAGAAGCTGGGAGAACAACACAAGAGTTTGTCTCTTTCCAAGTCTAAGGACAGCATGAAATGAGCACAAAGATTTCCAAGGATGGCTGGAGGCAAAGGAGGAAAAGCAGCAGCAGTCATGCAGCAGGGAGTAGAGCTGACCACCAGGCAGAGGGTGAGCAGTGTAGAGTCCAGGCAAAGGAGGAGAATAGCCATGGCTGGAGAGATCCCAGAGGCTTGGCAGGGCTGGAGGAGAGAGCAGGACCTGATGTGCAGATGCCCCAGCATGGGCAAAAGGGGGAAAAAAATGAGATGGGAAGGTGGAGCAAGAGCAGGATTTTGTGGGGATCATTGGCAGACTATCTGTAGGAAATTTAAGTTGGTCCATTGGACTGGGGGGACAGCACAGACCTGTTAGCAAGTGTGCTGGAGGTGCAGCTGCAGCAGTGGTGGAGGCTGGGGAAACCTGTGGAGCTTCTTGCTGAGAGAAGGGAAGGAAACAAGGGAGAGCCCAGCAGCAGTAGCCAACTAGACAAAGCTGCTCAGTTGTTCACTGGCCACAGATTTCTGTGGCTCTCACTTCAACGTCTTCCAGCTGATTATACACCACATCAAGTTAAAGTTTACAATAGCTGCAAAAACAAATGCAGTGGTTTTCCCCAGCAGATTCTTTGGACAATCCAATTATGTCTTTTCCTCTTTTTCCATTAATAGTGATTTTAAAAAGACTTCTTTCTGAAGAACTAACATAAACAATAACACATAAAACCCCCATCTCACTGTTTGACATATGTGCAGCCACAGTATATTTTCTCCAGCTCCTCACAAATGCTGTGCCAGCACGTCAGTGCCAGAACCAGAGGTGAGACATGGCAAAGTGTGGTATTGTGGCACCACGTCTCATTTCACTCCCCCAGCCACGAGGCAGAGCACACAGCTCCAGCATCTATCACTGGAGCATCCAGCATCACATGTAAACCTCCATCCATCCTTCTGCTGCCATGGATACAGGCATTTAATAATTGAAAGAACAGTAAAATAACATGGGAGTCAAAATGTTTGAAAGACAAGTTTTACAAAAACTGAAGGTGTACAACCGGGACATCTTGAGAATTTTTTTAACCTACATCTTTCTTTCCAAGTGGTGGAAATATGTCTTCTATACTTCTACTGTCTTGACTGAATTTCAGTTAAATCTGCTCTTTGCCTTTTTCTTCATAGCAGACACACTTGCTGCAGGCTTCAGTCCAGAAACAGACCCCCAAAAGGCAGGGATACCAGTCCCCCTTTCCCTGCCTTCCCTTCCTTGTCTCTGTTGAAGCCTGACTGCACCTCTCTCCAAGCTCATTTAACTCCTTCATTTATTCTAAGTCCTTATCCGACAGCTCTACCACGCCATAAAAAGTAAATTTCTTCCTTCCCCACTTAAAACCAGCATTATATTTGTATACTACAAATATTTATCCCTTCCAAAAGGCCAAGGGTTTGCACAGTTGCAAACTTTTGGGACGCTGCAATGAAAGCAAGCATCAGAGAGCAGCGGCTCCGTCTGCTCTCCCGGCTGGAGCGATCCCGGGAGCGGCATCGCAGCGCAGCCCGGAGCGGGGCCGGGGCCGCAGCCGCTCCGGGCCGTGCTTGGTGCGTGTCCCGTCCGCCAGCCCGAGCCACGACACGCCGAGGAGCCGAGCTCCGAGCACGTACCGGCCGATGAGGGAGCAGCTCTCGGTGTCGGCAGCCACGGCCCCGTGCAGGAACTGCTGGGGAGCGCACCTGGGCTGGGTCAGGATGACCACAAGCGTCACGGCCACTGCCAGCACTCCCAGCGTCAGCAGCAGCAGGCAGCAGATCTTCCCCGTGGACATGGCTGTTCCTGTGCCGCCCGGCAGCTGCAGGGCTCAGTCCTTGCGAGGAGCTGCCTGCCTTGCTCGGGGGAAGAGGATATATCCCGAGCTGTGAGGGAGGTCCCGCTGCAGTGGGCTCTGCCCCCAACGATTACATTCCTTTACATTAAAAGCTGCTGAAAAGCGAACAGTGTGCTCTGTCTTTCCTACTGTCTTAGGTGTGAGGGGATTTTCACTCTTAATAAACTTTTCTTGCAGTTCCACAATCCGCCGTTTTTCTGTGTCTCTGATGAAAACATTTAACACATTCACTCCTGGAGCACTTCAAAGAGAAGTCTCCACACTGCTCCTCCTTCTCACAGCGTCTCTGGCTTCCCATTCTTGACACACAAATTACCTAACAAAGGTGGCCTATGTGAATCACTGGGAAAATTACCTCAGCCCTACACTGTAAACTTGGGGTGTTTTGTTCCTCTACAACTACTCAAAGAAGTAAAAGCTGAACATACTATACAAAGCTAGAACCTTTATATTTACTCTTTATTCACGTTATAGCTTATTATAATCTTATTTACTTTTTTCATATGTACATCTTGCCAGTGTCCACAGCATACATCTTCTGTAAATGAGCACAAGAGAACAACTGGAGTAAAGCAGCACTTTGCAAACACTGGTGCCCAGAGCACCAAGAGCTCTGGGGTCCAGCCTGTGCATGGCTGCTCACTGGGACAGACCTGATCCCTCACAGAGCAGTGATGAGCAGCAGGAATTGCTGCCCAGTGCAGCTGACCCCAGCTGGATCTTTAACAGCCTCTTATCTACACAGTTCTCCTTGCACTCGAGAAGTTAAAGACAGGGCTCCACATCTGCCTGATGTCTTTCTAAAAGATGTTACCTCTGATCCTTTCCCTGCTAGATTTGGGAGAAGGGGAATTCACCTGTGCAGATTTACACATGTATTTCAGAGCAGATTTTGAACTTGTCCCACTAAACTTTATCTTATAACTAACAACACTATTTTACATGTCATATTTCAATAAATGGATTTGATAGGCTAAAATGTCTTTTTTGTGATTGTATCTTCTCATAAGGTTACCTTGAGGAACTGAAAAGAAAAAGTTGGCATGTGTAAACAAGCCTCCTCTGCTCTAATGTGACTCTTCACTCCATTGCAAAATATTGCTGATTTTGTAGAGTTTCTCAATCTCTACATGACTTTGATGTTTCATTTTTGACAAAATACAGTTCATTTTTTACAAATTCATTTTTTACAAATTACACACTTAAAGAATCATCATCCTGCTGTTTCTGGGAAACCTCTTCCCTTTAAACTCATAGCAGAGCTGACCACTCAGTACCAGTAAGACGAGTGGATTTTGCCTATTTACTTTCATCAAATACTGTGAAGAATTCAACTGTAGTCTCTCCAATTTCTCCCAGTTTCCAGATTCACCAAACCTCTGCATCTGGAAAATTATCATTGTGCAGTCAAGGAGGAGACCTGGAAGAGGGAAGAGAGGTAGAGTGTCATCTTCCAGCCCAAGGGAGAGGCCAAGGATGGCCTGGGAAGGCCAAGACATAGTTATGACTATGCCAACTAACAGCTGCCTCTCCCAGGAAAACCAATTTTTCTTTTTGTATGGAAATGAAGACTGAGCCTCTTTGTCTTTTTCCCTGTGTAACCTTTACAGTCTTGGTGCAACATTCAACTTTGACCATACGATACTACAAGCTCTGCACTGACCCTCCCATGTCAGAAGATGTTTAGCAGTTCACATGCTGGGATTCAGGACTTTGACCTCTATTTTTCTGTTAGTTTGTCAAAACTTTTACATTTGCCATCATTATCTGGGAGCAGAGTTTGCCTTGGCAGAAATCTCCATACATAGCCCTTCACTCTCTAGTCTTCTGCTGCCAGCATGAAGGGCTTTGTATGCTGCTTGAAGGGGGACTCAGGTATTTAAAGACCCTTACAGGCCAAGATACACTCAGGGAAATTTTAACTAGAACTTTAATTATTAATAGAATCATTATTCATTAACTTATAAAAAGACAGAATATCTTTAAATTGTCCTTTACATTGTTGGGGTCCTGCTACATCTTTGTCCAAATCTGCAATCAAGAGATCAAATTTGAATATTATGTAATATTTGGAGTACAGGCATTGCTAAGGTTGACGTGAAGACCACAGGTGTCTTTCAGAGGGTAAGAAATTTTCAGATTGTAAATCCTCAGATTTCTTTCCCAATTGCCCTCTCAGGTTACTACAGGGAGGTGGAAGAGTCTCAGCCATTGGGGTGAGTTGGTGGGGAGAGTACAGGGAGTTATGCTACTGACCAAAGGGACCAGGGCAGGCTTCGGAGCAGGAGCTTCAGCCTTGCTGCGGATGTTGTGCACCTTGGTTAGTGTATTGCACTAAGCCAATGTAATTTTTCCTCAAGCTCCAGCATGTCTTGACACACAGAGCTGCCATCTGTAGTTGCTGCTGCTCTGACAGCAAAGCTGGTTTGGGACGATGGCTGCATCAGCCATGTTTGAAGAGAAGAAAGCTGGTTGCTGGTTGAAAGACATCCCTCATAACCAGCCTCGGGAGCCTGGCAGTGAGGAGACAATCCCAAAGAGCCCCAGCATCTACACAGGCTGTAAGCCTGCTTTTCATTTGGCAGAACAAACCTGGAGATGCAAACCAAGGAGCCACCTTCGGGGAAGATGGAGACCTCTGTGTTGAAGCAGGATTCATGACAGTCCAGGGCCAGATGAAGAAAAAAGAGGTTGCAGCTTTGTGTGCAGCAAAAGAGTAGGTTTGTGGCATGAATAACATTTCAAGCATTACACTTTGCCTCCTTTTCTTTCGTGCTGTTTTCCATTGATTGAGGGAAAGCAAAGAACAGACAGAAAGTCAGGTATTTGTACTCAACAAAGAAAAGCTAAGGTATTGGCACTCAGTTTATCACTCTTCATCTCATATTTTAAAAATATAAATTTAAAGAACCCTATATGCACACCAAACTCATAATCCATTCTCACAATAGTGTCCTAAATAACCTCATTTGCCTTGGTCTCTACACTGTCCAAATTATTTTGCAACATACTCAGGGGGATGCCTCTTTGTGTTGGTGTTTGTTTGCAGAGCATTGTCTACAGTCACCAAGCTCTTACTGTAATAAATAAGAAGTGCATTTTATATTTCCCAGCTCTAAATTAGGTTTTAACTGTTGGACAAGAGTCTAAGAAAGCTTCCAAGATCTTGCAACCAAAAGCCAAATTGGATGTATTTCATACACTGTTTGTCCCCTACTTCAGTCATGTTTATTTATAACCCAGGAATATCAATTAATTCTATATGATAATCACATAACCCAATAATAGGCAATATTCAGGGACTTTATTGTCCAGATTTTCTAAGGGACATGGCTGTGAGTTCCACAGTTGGTGCTCATAATCCATTTGTCTCAGTACTCAGTCCATTTGTTGTCAGAAACTGCTACACACTAAACTTTGCACATTGTTTTTCTTTGCACACAAACAAGTTTACTTTATTGAGGGTCATGGGTCTGCTCCCACAAAAATCAAGTGTTCAGACATCTGGAAAAACAGATACTTGGAATCAGGAAATTCTGATACTCAAGAATTTCTCATTCATATTTCTCCTCCCTCTGTTATTCCTCAGAATTCAGGATGATAGTTAAACCCATAAAGTGCCCTGATTCAGGAAAGCCAAATGATCCTTCTTTTGTTACTGAAATCAGAAAAGGGAAATATGTTCCTAATTTACTCATAGGTTTATGCTAATGCTTAATTAACATTTAAGGACCTTTTGAATCAAGGTTTTTTGGTTTTCCTTTTAATTGGAAAGCATGCCAGGGAATAACTCTCACACTTTTAGCTGAGAAACTTGGCAGTACTTCATCTCAAGTCTTGAAAACACACTTCTGGCTCCAATGTAATGGCTAAACAGATTCATCCAACAAAGCCTTGAAGGGTTGGAGGGTGATCACAAGCATTCCGTGTTTTAGAAGCACAGCAGCAGGGCAGTGACAGATGACTGGAGAGGACAAACCTACATCTTGAGGACAGCAAGTATCAACAGTCCAATACTACTCTGGCACTATTTTCCTCAACCGCACTGTCCTTCCGTTTCCCACCTAAAGAATGTCTCTTTGTGGGCTGCAAGCATGAGCAAAGGGAGTGCACTTGAATGGGACATCACAGGACACACACCATTTCTCACACCACTGAAAGCCTAAAGGGACCCACAGAATGTCAGAGACTCCTCTATCTTTGCTGAATTTTTCAAGGTTAAAGGCAGAGCTGCTGCTTCCTTCTTCCTTTCCTGCTGGTTACAAAGTAATGCCTGTTGGAAATGTTTTGTGGAACCCAACCAGAACAACCTCTATTTCACAGTGACGTTGGCCCAGTGAAAGTCAACTTTTGCACAGCTCGACTCAGTGGGACACATGGCACAAACCATTGCCCAAGGGGAACTCTTCTCCATTTACTTTATTCAGTGAGGATATCCAGGCACAGTTTACTGCAAACATCAGCACTTTTTCTTTCTGTAACACTGCAGCTATGCTCAATATTAGATTAACAGTGAAACCTTCCGATTCAGTCCTTAACTCTTGAGTGCCCTTCTGGATCAAATCCAGCAGTTTTCCTAAAGACTAAACCTCATTAGTACAATTACTATAACAGCTGAAAATATTGGCAGGAGAAAACAAAAGGGAACTTTGTGTGCATCCAAAGACACCAACAGCAAACTCTGCCTGAACTCTGTATTGTTTAAAATAGGCTGGAGTATTACATTAGTGACCCCAAATGATATCTGTGGAGGGTTTTAACCCACATGGAAGATGGAAGTACTAAATATAATATATTCATAGTGTAGTGTGTGTGTGTGTGTATCTATATGTAACTACCTACACAGCTGCCATCATATGCTTTGTATGACCTCGGTGAGCCCCAGCCAGAGAGTACTGGTTCACTGCCATGCTCATTCCAGAGCTGCCTGGATCAGTTTGCTCACTGAGTCCTGTGCAGGCTGGAGCTCCCTTGGTCTCCCCAGGGCCCAGCACAGGGCAACATGAGCCACTCTGAACACACAAGGGAAGCACATCAGCTGAGGAAGCTGAGGAAGCTAAGGAGTGATTTTTGCCAGGGATCTTCACAGA